ACATATGTAGAGAATTTGATAGAGGGCGGTATCTGAAAACTGCCAGATAAAACATGGGTTGGCAGGTCAACATCATCGACTAATGGTATAAATCTCTAGAATAGCCTATTCGATGCAGACTTTCAGTGTGTATGTAATTAGGCTATTTTCAACATGTGTTATGTTTGAAGAAATCTTGAAAACTGCTCAAAATGTTGTCATTTATCGATCATTGTGAAAATGATTTAAAATATTTTTGATCTCCTGTTTAGTCATGTCACATAGCGACAGTCTCTAAAACAGTCTATTCGCTGCAGACCTTCAGTATCTATCAAATGAACCTATTCTGAACGTGTGTTATGTTTAAAGAAATTTTGAAAACCGCTCAAAATCTTGTTACTTATCGATCATTGTGAAACTGATTTAAAGTAGTTTTCATGTAGTATTTAGTCATGTAACATGGTAAAAATCACTAAAATAGTCTATTCGATGTGTATCGAACGAAACTATTTTGAATGTGTGTTATGTTGGAAGGAATTCTTGAAAAATGCTCAAAATCTTGTTACTCATGGATCATTGTAAAATTGTTTAAAGCATTTTTGATCCCCTGTTTAGTCATGTCACATGGTGTAAATCTCTAAAGTAGTCTGTTGGATGCAGACTTACAGTGTCTATCGAATGAAGCTATTTTGAATGTGTGTCATGTTTGAAGGAATCGTGAAAAATGCCGAAAATCTTCTTATTTATCGATCATTGTGAAAATGATTCTAAGTATTTTTGATCTTCTGTTTAGTCATGTCACATGGTAAAAATCTCTAAAATACTCTATTGCAATATGACACAATATACAACTAGGCGGATATTTGGTCTAGGGCTGAAAGCGCATTTTTTTTCGAATTTAAAGAGTGATGAACATGAGAGGTATTAGAGACATGAAAGTTGGTAAAAATGATTATATATTGAATCCAAAAACTGAAAGGAAAAATTAGTTAAGTGAACTTCCCAGGTGAATGAAAATGAAAGATTAACGAGCCATTAACGGCCAATTAATGGTATGTCATAAGAATGGTCGCTTGATGGTCAATTAATGGTATAAAAATGAGTTAGAAATGATGTTATTTATGACTCATTTTGTCATCATCAAAATTATGTAAAAATTAGCCATTAGTAATCTAGTAGAAAAAAATGTGCAAAAAATGATCATAGAATGGTCATTTCATAATCACCATTTTACGGTTATTTATATCACTTTAAGTTAACATTATTTATGTGTAACTAGTTGTTCAGTTATTATGTGATTTTTACATCATTCTTGAGCAATTACCGAATGGCGATAAAGTCACTGAAAAATGCTCGCTAATGGACCATTAATTGTGTAGACATACCGAAGGGTAGCGGAAGTCCGCAATGACTACTTTTTTTCACATAGGAGAGGGAGGATCTAGCAAAACATTACGTAATCATTTGTTTTTTCTGCGTAGCGAAAGGTATAACTGTTTTTTGTTGTGAACAGACTTGCTGCCTCACTATTATAGTTTTGTCCTATTAGGACAAAAGATTCACTAGTGGGTTTTTTCGAGACTCTCCAAGACCCGATGGAGTCGAAAAACATTTGAGAATCCAAGACAATGCTAACGTCTTCCTTCGGTCAGCGTTTGTAACCACTATAGTTGTGTAAGTTACGCAGACATTTTTTTGTGTTATTAAAAGTTGACTGGTTTCTAGAGACATCTGGCTCTTGACAGAAAAACATTTTCTTAATGCTTTTGTCTCTTCATTAGTAGGCAATTGAGGTAATGTTTTTGAATATTTCCTCTCTTGTGCTTGAAAAAATATTTTTCTACTTTTCTTCCTTATGATTGGCTTGTCCATGGAATATCCAACAACTATTTTTCCGTGCTTTGGGCACCAGTGTTTCTAAGGTCTCGTCTACACTACAAAAGTTAAAGGAACTTTAAGCAATTCTATTGGGCTAAACTAACTTTTAGCCAATAGAATTGCTTAAAGCTCCTTTAACTTTTGTAGTGTAGACAAGGCCTTAGAAAGCCCGGGGAAGTTATCGAAAGCATAGAAAACAAAGTTTACGTAATGTTGGAACAACCGTCAGGTTGATAGATTTAAGCTGTGTTCTCTTCTCTCGTTCTGTAGTGCATGTATTTCTTTAAATGTATAATGTTAGCCCATCAACTTCCGTTAGAACGAGAAAATAATACACACTTTGTTTAACACTGGATAGAAAGAGGTAGTGTTTTCGATATAACTTTGGCGAGGTGGGGGAAGCTTTATGGAGCAATCCTAAATAAAGGCTTTTAACTTTTCGGAGTAGTCTAGAGTAAATTTTTTCAAACACGGTAGGGGAATGCCCCCATCTAATCGAAAACGCTGGAAAGAGAGACAAGTAGCGGAAGCTGATTTAAGACTAACTATTAACGTGAATCGTAAACGCTGTTCTGCGGTACTGACTTTTTTGCTACTGTTTAGGGTTTTATTGATAACTAGTATGTGGAATCTAAATATTGGTGACGTAGAAAGTCGCGCACACAAAGAAGAACACAATAAATTGCTTGAAAAACGTCGTCCAAAGCACGATAAATCCAAAAATTCATACGATATAGATAAAAGTTATTCTTTATTTCCGATTTTACTTCGATCAAATGAACGTTTTGATTTTGAAATGTCAAAAAATGATAACAATTCTATTTTCGACAACTTTCAAGTCGGAGATGCAAAATGAGTTTCGAACAAGCATGTTTGGCTTTTGTAATCTTATCTGTTCAGATTTTGTTTACTGCTAGTTTCATACTGGCAACAACAACAAGAAAAAAAGATATGCAAACAAGACGAAGAGTCAATTCTTTATTGTCTGTTGATGTATTGCATATTTATTATTTTCTTTTTTTTCTTTCTTTCTCTCCGTACTGCTCTCGGTGGAAATTTCAAAAATGCAACAATAAATCATGGACTGTTTCGGATTGGTCGAAAATCGTCCATGGTACTGTAAAATCATAAGTGGTTTTAGCTTCCCATGACCCTAAAGCCACGTTCACACGACACTTTTACTTAGTTTAATCCAAATCCTAACCGAGTTCGAAATGACACCGTTCAGACGCTCCTGGGGAATGACCAATGTGAAAATATCGAAAATTACCTTCTCGAATAATTTGCGGGACGCTGTATGAGCTACAAATACGCTTCGAACTGCATATGTGTATAAGTTATTTAACCATAACGCATGTGTAGAAGTGTAGCTAATCACTGATTGATCGATGTTTAATAGGGGGTTCTTAACCGAGTTCTATAAACTTGGTTAACTTAACCAAGTTGGCAAATTGCCAAACTGCGTTCTTAAACTAAGTTAACAAACTGAGTGCGTTTACACGGGACAAGATTGGAAAGATTAGGATTAAACTCCGATAACAAATCGGTCGATCGAGTAGAATGCACGATTTACACACAAGACGAAATCGACGCATATATTGCTAAGAACAAAGAGCAATCAGTTCAACATCAACCACTTATTGTTGAAGCATCGATCGCGAAAAAACGAAAGAATAGGAAGAAAAAGGAAAACAAACAGCATGAAGTACAGAAATTGGGATCTGACTTATTATCTAAAGAAACAGTCGATCAAATCTCAGACGTTCCATCGAAGACTGGTATGCTATGTCGGCTTTTTCTTCTTTCGCCTGTGGCCACAACGAAGGAAAAAAGTAATATATTTCTCTCGGATAAAACAAAATTCGTCAGTAGCATGGGCGTCTAATGCCGAGACTCACAAGCTGCCTTGTGGGATAATATTTCTCTACTGTGTGTGTGTGGTAAATTTCTGTTGTCAACGGAATGAATCAGTAATGTGGACGCGCCCGTCCAGTTGACACGATTCTAAACTGTATTGTTGACACTGAGTTTATAAACTGAAATTATAAGAAAATACGAGAAAATAATAAACTGCTAAAATATGAAATTAGGAAACAAGAGATAAAAGAAGGATACAAATCCAAAGCTGGACGATCTTGTCGCTTTACGAGTTAACATATATGTAAATTCGAAAAGGGTGCGATATATTTCATTCTTTTAGAAAGGAAATCAAATCGATTTACTTCTTTCCCTAGAGAAAAGATGTCAAAGAGTACTTAAACGGCGTGAGTGTCGCCGACACTGCATCGATTCAGAAAAGGTCACGATCGTGTTTTAGTTGGAATTCTAGACTTGACTAATGCAAATTAAATAAGGGATCTTTTTTGACTCATGTTTCGCGTGATTTGTGGATCTTAGGTTAAAATAAGAGTGACCGAAAAAGTGTCTTACATCGTTTGAGTACTCCTTGATCTTTTTGCTCTAAGATAAATAATTCGATTTCGTTTCCTTTCCGAAGGAAATGAAATACGATAGTCTGACATGGCGAGTATGTTGGTTTCTTAATTTGTAACTATAATGTAGATCTTCGTGACTATATTCGCTTCTATGCTTTTTTTCTATTAGAGTTCAAAAGATGAATCAGATACCAAACCCGAAAATACTGCCACACCCGATTCTAAGACTAATGAAAACACTGGCAATTATGGCGATCAAGATGATGATGATATCATTCTTGATTCCGAAACTTATGAAGATTTGGACGATTATGATGATCAAGAGAATGAGAAGAATGATCAAGAGTCAATTATGGCCGCTGTCGATCTTCAAGTGAATAAATTAACACCATTTGAACGTTTTGTGATGACGTCTTTGCAAAACATTAGTAGAACTTTAGTAGAAGTTAAAACTCAAACGTTGAGAAATCAACGTACCCTCGGTGTTTTGTATGAACTCGCTATTGAACCGACGCTTCTTCGAATACTTCAAAGAGAACATTTACTCAGCGATATAATGGGACTTGAAACCCGATTCTTTTGTGCATCTGACTCGAAGAACATGGAAAAACTATTCTTCCGCTTTGCTCGACGCATGAAACGTGACTACGAATATCGGTGGTTGAAATTCAAAAACTTCATCAACTTGTCTTTAAAACCTGATAAAATCAAAGTGAATCTGATGGGTATGTCTATCTCATTTCTAGGGTTGTCATATTTTTTGGAAACTTTGGTTGTTGAAAATGAAATTTCTCAAAAAATGAAATTTTGTTTTTGGAAAATGCTATCAAGACTTTTTATTTAAAAATCGATCATTTTGTAGAAGAAACATGCATTGAACTTTTTCCGTTTTTGAACACACGAGTAAAACTTCTTCAATACTTTAAAAAGCTCGATTATTGCATTAGTGATTTATGAAACAAAATGTTGATAGCTAGTGTTTTTTTATAAACATCAATGAACATTAGTAATTTGATAAAACAATTTGTGATCATTAATGCGTTTTTGCAAGCACTAGTGATATTTAGCGTTTTTTATATTTATAGGTTTTGGTAAATTGGAAAACATGAGAACCTATGTGGTCGACTCCCCGCCATCGTTTCGCGTGCCTCCAGTCGAACGATTATCATATGTGACACACGCAAAGGGTGTTGCACGTCAAACATCGTTCACCCATGCGATCGTCATCGAGGCATCAACGGCCCTAATTGATTTCGACGAAAATCTGCTCCAGTCAGCATCGATTGGACGAATGTCACATATGAAGACGGTGTTACACAAATTTGCTGAACTCGAACGACAGCTAGTCTTTATCTCTATGTATTATTCGATCACTGACAAGCAGTTATTCGCTGGTCTCATTTTAAACGATCTTCGTGATAAGTACAATCCGTCTGTCTTTCTTCGTCGAATTCTCAATTCTCAATTTGCCATTGCCAATCCTATCATTTACCAGCTATGCAAAGACGGTCGATTTATTTTCAAGAATTAGAAGAATAATAGTGAACTTAGTCTCTCTTTACGTCGTCCATGTCTTTTATAAAAGATGACCTGTTGTCTTAGTCTATATGACTATTTTTATTTTTTTTTAATAAGAAGAACCTGTGTTTTTGGGCTTGTGAGGTTTTTGTAGAAACCCATAAAGAGAATAACGTTTTTTGATACAAACATTGAATAACTGGAAAAGTAGAAATTGTTTTATTTACTAGATAACACTTAACTCTAAACGTAGAGAAATCTGTTTAGCTTCCTTCGATACTCTATCCAATGGACATACTTAGACATATTCGCGGTAGATATAGTGAAATGCGTCAGTCTACGCAGTGTCCGATATGGTAGAATTAAAAACAATCGCATTCTTGTAATGCCCCTACTGGAAGTAGTCGTTAAGAGTAAATGAATGTTAGCTGTGCCCGATTTCAATGGAATACAGTACTGGAAAAAATTATAGAGCCACTGTATTTTTGAAATTTTTCGATGAAGCCGGGCAGCTAGGTCAAATCCGAATCTGAGTAGCTGTTGAAGTCTTCTATCAAATGTAGTATGCGTCAAAATTTCAGAGACAGAGTTTTGAAGAGAATTTTCTAGAAAATCGCTGCAGCGGATCTCTAAGTCCTAGAGCCTTTTGCTAAAAATATTTTCAATATCGCCATCTAAAAGAGCATAAAATTCTGAACCAAATAAAGCGGCGCTCTGGTTGCATAGTTACAGGCATCAGAAAAAAACAAAATAGTATAATTTACGAAGAAAACGCTAAAAATACAAGCAGAAGCACATTCTTTTGGGTTTTCCTGA